TTTATGTCTAGACATCATCTTCTTCCTTAGCCTCAGACCCGTGACCCAATTATCTTCTATCGCATTCCCATCCTATTCACTCTTATTTCCAGGAGCCATGTGTCTGGCTTGATGTGGAACAGATGGATTACTTCTCTTCTTTAGTCCTGGATCACATAAAGTACATTCTTGATCCTCATGTTGACAGTCCCACCTATTCCTAATGTTCTATTCAATTGTGCATATGTATGTGTGTTGGAAACTATCTTAGTTAGGCATGTTAATCAGCATTTCTTACTACAAGGGCACAGACGAAAGACGCACATGCATACACATACACAGGAGAGTAACTGATATTGTGCTCCGGCCCGGTTTCCAGACCCAAATGAATTTAAAATAGACCTAAATCTTCAAATTAATGCCTCTACTGGTGTACAATTTACATGCTTATGAGCATTTAATTCCATATCCCACATGTGGACCCACATTGGTAACTTTTCAAGCGGATTCCAGGTTTGACTCCTTTCTCCGCAATCGCCTTTCTTGACTTCCATTTGTCACTCATGATCTTCTTCTTGACGTCGTTTGTGTTCCCCATATTTGAGGTAGTCCTTAAAGTCTATGCTAAAAACTCCGTAGCACGCCATTTAAAAAAAAATGTGTATGTTGAAGTTTTAGTTAATCATTCATACCTAAAACAGTCTTCTTTGAAAGATAATAAAGAGTTATGAGCCAGAAGCGATGTCCTGTAGCTAGACAAGTTGGTGTAGTGAGAACGTATCAGTACTACACACACACGTATATATATATTTTTTTTTGAAGGTGTAGTTTATAGTGTAGGTACGAAGACCAAATTTTTGTGGCCATTGTCCTTTTGTGGATTGAATATTTCCACGTGCCATCGAGACAAAGCAAAAATCATAGATTAAAGGTAATTTACTATTTTAATCTGGCTTAAAGGAGAAACTAATATTGGGGCACTAATTTAAGGCTGCGAATAGTCCACTTACATTATCTTTCAAATAATGAATGTAAACATCTACTAAAATTATACTTTCGTAACCTTAGTTAGTAGCTGGCGCCCTCAAATGTATCAAGTGCATCAAATTCTTATCTTATTTTTACTACTTTTTTGCTTAGTAGTTATTTAATAGTTTTAATGTCCGAGCCTTATAATTTTGAAATGGTAACCGAAGATGTTGTACTTTAAGCATGGATTATTATCCATGAATTTTTAAGACTAGAAATAGTAAAATATTTACTTTGCACATATAACTTTGCTTCTGTTCTTCCATTAAAAATAATTAAGCTCTCATAGCATAGATAACTTAGTTGGGACTAAGTTAACTAATTCTGATTAAATCAGCAAGTAGTTATGTTATTCGCTCAGACCATCCCTTATTAAGCCCGAAATACTATTTTAACTATGGAGATTCTGATATGGATTTATCCATTTTACTTTAAGTCATCTTATATAATAAAATATTTTGCGGGTTTTTGCATTTCTCTTATTTAATTTAATCATTAAGGATCGAGCCCGTTCTCGAACTCTCAGGAGAAAGATTTAAGCTGGAGACAACAAAAAAGGACCAGCACACTCTTGTAATGTTTTATGCTCATTGGTGTAGTCAGTCTCAGGAAGCCAAGCCGAAGTATGATCGTGCAGCCGAACAGTTGAAACAATTGGCAAAATCTGATCGTGTGATGGCGGCTGTTGATTGCGCAGAAAAAATAAATCAAGGTAAGTCTACGATGACTATTGAAAATAAAACTAAGATAAGTTAAATAAAACTTTTCCTAGTTTAGTCGAAAGTAGGAAGACTAAGATGGTATGGCCTTTAGTGTAAACGCGATCTATTTTCATAGTATAGAAGTTGTTTTACCTTGATTCCGCAACTTGGTCATATTGTCAGGACGAACTTAAAGAATGCACCTTGTCCGGAGTCCATAGTATGCGTAATAATTTCCAGTCGGACCATGGACTTGATACATTACTAGAATTTTTGCCGGAATCGTAGTCGGTATCGTCAGTGAGCCTTGCCATTCTTAGCACCACAATATGACTCGTCAAGAGACAAGTGATGTCAAGCTTTTGAGCAATTGTCTGCCAAACCATTATGGTATCTTTCCTTCTGTCCTAGTATATTCACCTTTCTTATATCCTCATAACACCCCTTGCCATCATAATTTCTTACTTTCTTATAAAAGCATAATTTAGGAGTGCTTTTTTGAGCGAATTTAGTGAGAAATATTCCAACTCTCCACTGGTTCCCTCACCTCCGATTTGTTGTCTAGATAGTATTGATCCAAAACTGCCGTTTAGTCTTCACTCCTCTCTTGCTCCATAGGAACCACCTCTTATCTGCCTGGCTCAATGATATCGCTCGATCGCTGGAGCTGAGGAAGGAATAGTGACTAACTTTCCTGGGTGTTGAGGTCATTTGCTGGAATGAGATATTTAAAAAGAGATTATTCACAAAGAAACCACATGCGGGAATAATCGCTAATTTCCAGGTTCATCAGAACTATTGAGTGAAGGTCAGAAAACTGAGAAGTTTGATGATAAGAAGATTAAAACTAACGGATGAGGAGTTCTAGGACAAAGGGTGAACAGAGTGGCACGGATTTTTCTTAATAATATGTAGCCCAGAGAATTCATATGAACAAATATAGGGATAGTAAAGAGCATACATCAACGTGGATATTATGAAAGAAGTAGAATTTCTAGAACGCCAGAAAATCAGTAATATGAGATGTATTCACCCTATTTCGTTTAAGGTGATGAAGGACTAGTAGTACAATTTCCCCACAATGATATGAGTAGAGCTGACGTTTCCATTGAG